CCCTAACGGATCTTTGTAAAACGGTTTATTTTTTATTATTTTGTTCACGAATTTTAACCCTCCTAAGAGGGACGTCAATAAGGCAAGTAGCTGGCTGACGGTAAAAAATACAATATATCTAGGCAAGTTTTGCGACATCGATTACAAAGGAGACGTGATCCTTCAACTAAATGCTCATCCGCAGTGCTCTATAATAAGACCGTAAGGACTTCTTGGGGCACTAAAATAAAATTAAAAAAAAGAAGAAGAAATAAATCTACTTTATTTCTTATTACTCTTGAAAAATTAATAAATTGGTATGTTTAATTCATTGCAAATGGAAAAAAAAAATTAATCTATTCAATTTGTGGAAAAATAGAATTTGTCTTACGCTATTTACAAGAAAACATAGAAAATATTTTGTTTTCATTTAATATTTAGTATTGCTTCCTAAACTTTTAATGACTTCATAGATACTTTATTATAAGCTTCTCTCACCCGAGTTTTCAGCTCAAATGTGGATTTATATTGCTTATTATTATCATAAATATTCCATTACATAAATATGTTTTTCTTTAAGCCAAGTTTTTGTAAGCTTTGAATTATGGATAGCAGCATTGTTTTGTTGAAAAGTGAATTATTTACCCATCAATTCTTCACTATGTTCAAGCAAACTAATTTCTAATAGGTCAATGTAGTCTTGTGAATTCATTTTTTGTTGAAATCTATGCCAGTGGAAGTTTTCCAGATACGGAAAAATTCCCTAAAACCATAACAGTTCCACCACCAAAGTTACGACTCATTGGAGTTTTTTTCTCTTTTCAAAGATCGTGCCAGTAATATTGATAGCTATCAGGACCATCTTAGATGAACTTTTTTTAATCACTAAAGAGAATTTGATGCCACCTAACTCTTCCTGCTAAGACATGTGTTCTTTTGTAAAATGTAATCTAACTTCTTAATGACGAACAGTAAGCTTTGGTTTTGGTTTACGCTTTTTCCAAACTGTGTTTGGATCTTCATATAAGATTTGTCTCACACGTTGGACAGCAACAGGTAATTGTAAATTATTTTTCTCAAAACAATCCTACTAAATCTTGAACCATTAATAAAAACACTGCATCTTTTATTATTGTTTCTCAAAAAGCTTATGCTTTTTTTTGTAAAACAGAATACCAAGTGTCGTATCAGAGTCTATCAATATTGCTACAAACCATTCTTATTCATAACTTCATACTTTGTGCGCTCTCTGTTAGTGTTATTGAAATAAAAAGTTGAGTTTGATTCACACCATCCTTATAGAAATGATGCAAAAATGTCGAGAAGAATGCTTATGATATGTTTTTTAATTGCACAATTTGACCACGCGTTGAACGCTCTTCAGAATAAATACTGGAATTTTCGTTGCTCTTCAGTTATCACAGAATTTAAACAGGCCTTTAATATATCAGTAAACAGAGATCATTTTGTCCCTCTAATAACTTTAACATTTCATCTAAAATATTTAATTCTCTTGATATTTATGTATTGAAATTACCAGTTAAATTACCAGAAACAAATCCGGTTGCTACTTATAATTCTACTATCTTGTTTCTAGATTCTACTCAGAAAGCAAAGATATTAGGGTCAAGTAAAAGTAATTGTTTATTATTAACTCACCTTTTTCTGCAGAAAAAAAAATTATTTAGCATCATTGCCGCTTAAATTAAAAAGTTCAACTACATCAAGGGCGGGTTTAGGGTTAGGTTTGTCAGGCACGTCGACTAACGTATTTTTTGGTAAACACTTTTTAATTAAAAAGCTTTCTAATTTAAAATAAATACATTCTTGAATTTTATTTTGTGATTTTTGTGTGTAAAATAGCGATATTTTAGGAATTTTAATAGTATAAAGTCCCCATCTTGCTCGTTTTTCACCGGCTTCCGAATTTAAGAAACATTTGTAATGTGGGTTTTAATTTTATTATCCGTAGCATGATTTCGGACCGTAACAAGCACACCTAACCTGGCCTGTTTATTTAACTGACAAGATTTCAAAATGGTATAAATTCTTATTAAATTGTTTCCTTTTTATCCTCCGGTAATGTAACTTTAGGTCAAATTAGACCAAACATTATTGTGCCTAACTTGACCCGATTATTCGGCAAATGAGAGTCCAAAAATTATTAAGTTTATTTAACTAGTGGTTTTTTTCATCGTTGGGTAGCGTAACTTCAGGCCAAGTTAGACGCAAGTTAGTCGTTAATCGATTGTTTGTTTCTGTCGATTTCAGATTTCAAAAGAAACTTGTAACTGACCAATTTAAAATATTTTTCTTGTACGCCTAGCATTTCTTTACAGTTTACAAGAAAATTAATTGAGAACAGTTGTATTGAAAATCTACAAATTGTTTATTCCAAAATGTCGTTAAAGATTAATTTCCTTCACAAACCAGATCTTTATGACTTATTGACTGTTCAAAACTCAATAAAGAGAAATATTTCTGTTGAGTATGACATTCCGCAGAACTCAAGGAAAACTATGACGTTGAAGTAAGCATTTCTCTGTTTATTTCAAAAAGTAAAAGAAAAAAAAAAATAGTAAAAATTCATTCTTTATATTATCTACAACAATAGTAAGAATAATAGTAATAACAATAATAATAGTAACAACAATAATAATAAAATTGATAATAATAATAACAACATTAAAAATTATAATAATAAATTTGACTTAAAATTGCTTTCAGAAAGTTAGCATTGGCAAATCACTTTTTAAATTTATATTTTGCTTTGATCTAATTGATTTGCTTTTTTTTTTTTTATCAAACTTATATAAATTCTTCAATAAAATTTTATTTTATATTAAACTTAATGTTGGATCTTTTTTATTGAGTATTTAAAAGCTTTTTTTCATATCTTTTCATATCTACTGGTAATTGTCTATTTAGTTCGCTTTCTATTTGTCTGAGTGGTGATAATAGTTTGGGAATGGATTAAAGAATTCTGACAACAATTGATTTATATGACGTCATCCATCGTTTGTCAGCTTGTGCTTAAAGTATCCAAA